TAACCTGTAAAATTACAAACGCCTAGCTATGATGCTTCTTTACCTTGGACTTTAGGTAACAAGCTAATTAGCCAGACATGCTAAGGATTACCATTTAAATTAGACTCAACATGTGAAAAACACACTGCAAACACACTTCAAAGTTTTGACACACCTGCCGTACCCAGTTGCTATATTATTGAACAATCGCTGTTGGGGGAGGGGTTTAGCAAATAGTCAATTTGCTATTTAGAACAGTTTCTTCAGCTATATTTATCCACCCAAAACAAAATTCAGCTTGAGCATGAATTGTCTTGATACTAATCCAGTTTCCTCAGGCGAGATATGCTCTATCAACTGTCTTGGAAAGGGGGTCACATATTACCCCCCAAAACAGCCACCAATTAGCCTCTATTGAGCAACAAAACAAGTTTCCAAAGTTTTTGCATGTCATTATTACATACTAATTTCATTTCAAAGTCTGACAATCCCCAAGTCTCATCACAATGAGGCAAAGCTCATTAATGGACGAGAATAGCAAAGGCTCACATGGAATAACTTGCAGGAAATGTATTCTGTAAATCCTAAAATATTAAAGTTTGCATAATCTTTTAACACATTTGCTGTCAGATTTTATTCCAGCACACATGCTGGGTGAAAACAGCCTGTTTATGTGTAAAGGATCACACATGAAAGTAATTTCAGCCAGTCAGTTTGCTTAAATATAGTAGTGTAGTAAGAGTAGCTTAATATTGATTATTGATGTTTAGGCTTACCATCTTTCTGCCTACAAAACATGTTCAAAAGATTACATTAACATTAGGATTTTAGACATTTTGGTGCCCTTGGCCAGATATTCACTGGCCCACTTGAGAGGATTGATGTTTTCATTTTCATTAATAATTTTATTACTTTAGTTTAAATAAACTTTTCTAATTTACTCGACATCTGTTATGTGTCCTGTCATCAACATCACATGTCAATTAGTATATTTACATGCACACTAACGTCCCACTCATGACTAATGCAGGTCTTAATTATATTCAGGAAATGACGTGGAGGATTTTAACATTCAAGACAGTCTCTATCATTTTCACTGTATTACACATATACACATTAGAACTTATAGCACACACTTCACTGCATTCAACTTTGTGAATTCAATGCAAAATTTTCTTTGCATTAAGAAAACAGCTTTCCATAGAGGGATTTATATATTATTTTGTATTTTTGTTGTGCATTGTGGTATTAGAAAGAGAATGTTAATGTGGATCTGTTGTGCAAAGAAGGTATGGACAGGATTTTGTAATATAGTCAAACCTATGGTTTATTTGCTCTGGTCTGAATCAGTGGATGAGTTGGTAAACTTGTTGCTTTTTCCCTTCAGCTTGGTTTCTTTTCACACAGAAAAATATCAAGCAAACCACAAAGTGTCACTAAAAGCTACAAGAATGTTCACTCTGCTCATTGGTTAGAAAGAGTAAACACAAGAATAAGGTCCTGAAGAAGTCCTAAAAAGTGAACAAGAGCATTGTTCACTTTTTGTGCCATATCCTTAATTGAAACTGCTGCAAATATGAACAATACATGTGATATTTCATTTTTTATCTATCACCTGTCCATTTGCACTGAGAATATAGCAGCATTCATTCCACTATCCATCAGTGAGTTTTAGACACATAAACTGATGCACCATTGTCATGCCTAGAATCACGTCCAAATCTTAATCTTTATAGTCTATAATTATGTTCACATTACCCAATTGCACATGAATGATTTGATCTCTCTTCAGCCAAACCTTAAGGCATATGTTTCTAATGATTTTCTTTTTTAAAAATGGGCCGCAAAATCCTTTCAGGCATCTTTTCAATCAACTCACTGTCTGCCAAATGAGAGCCCCTTTCAAAGACCCTCTAGTGAGCATTGTGGCGCTTTGTGATGAGTTTGGCTCTGGGTTTGAAAAGAAGAGCTGAATCTATAACCTGTGCAGGAGACCAGAGGACAGAGACGGTTGACGGAGTGAAATTCTTCACATTGCTGTAATGGGTATAATTACACAAAGAAAAGGGCTGTTAGGTTAAATTACCCGTGATATTCACCATGGGTAATGACAGAAATTCAGAAGGTTAAATGACACCAGGAGCTGAATGACTTTTGACATTAAGGTACTTTTGAAAAAGGAATTAGAACAGAGCCTTTATTGGCAATTCCAAAACCCCTACATGTTGGGACTGTGGAGATTGGTTTGAAAGGACTTTAAAAAAGGCCCCTTTTTTGTGAACACCTGTGTCTTTAGAAGCCATTGCGAGACAATGATTTAGTCTAAAAAGCACTGGCCGAATAGATTGTTTCCAACCGTGGAAGCTATTTGAAGCTCACTTTGAGTTGCAGGGATGTCTGGAAATTGTCCTGCTGAGTGGTGCACCTACTCATACAAGCACCCATGGCAGGAAAGGAAAAGCTGAAGAGATTCAAGTAATTAGTTGTTTCCCTTATATTGTCTCTTATCTCCAGACATTCTAACTTCTCTCCAAATAGGGTTGTGTATGAAATTCTTTCAGTTTTTTCTTTAGGTAGAACTATATTCTCTCTGGTCCAAACACTGACCTTCACAGACAGCAAACAGCCCAATTAGTGGATGAGAAGGTGAAGGGGGCTGGACCTCATCCCCATGCAATTACCTCAAGTCACCCCTCGAGCAGCCACCCACACAACTAAGAGTGAGCGTCTAGTGTTTGCCGATAATGCTGTAAATGACCATGAAGAAATGAGAGAGCCAGGCACTGTATATTATGTACTATTTTCCCACAGCACTCCAGCTGTTGTGTTTCTCAAGAGTTTCACTTCCTTTAAACATTTCAAATCAAGCCTCGTCGAATATTTTCTCTTCTCACAACCTTACTTTGCTGGAGTTTTGATGCCAGTCACCCATATAGACTCTCCGCTGCTGATTGGCTGGGAGGGTTATTTTAAAAATGTAATCCAGTACAATTACTAATTTCTTGTTTAAAAATGTAATCAGTAATGTAATCCAAGTACCACAAAATAAAACTTTTGGATTACTTCAATGCCAAAAAGGCAAATGAAGGCAAGAGAAGAATCAATGATGCTTTTTCTGCTCATTGTTTTTTAGAGAAACATACAATAACTAAGATCTCCTATTACCAAAATCCATGTTTAAATGTTTTTGTATGATATGCTTTGCACTGTCATCCCTTTGGCAGTATCTGGCTCGCCAATGACAAAAAATGTTGTTTTGTAGGTATTCTGTGAAATTTAAGTTAGTCATTTGGAAAATCATTTTAAAATGTTGATGACTCATTCTGCACTTGTATTAATTTAGCATCCATTGAAAAGATTCTCGATATGACCCTGCTAAAGCATAGTGTTTCTGGGACCGGGCCCAACTGATTACTGTACAAAAACACAATGTTTTTCACTGATTTTGGTGAAACTGGATCATATTTAATGGAGAAATATTAGAAATATAGAGAAAATTTTTTTCTAGTTTTCTCTCTGATGTCCACCTGCTGCTCTGCCTCAACTCTGTGATTCACAGAGTTTCCTGATGGACAGATAGCTTTACTTCTTGCTGAAGTTAGTTAACAGCTAACTTGCTAGTGTTATTAGCTCAGTTAGCTGTGCAACAACTGGTCAAATTAGCTCACTCTGCCCGTAATAGGAGCTCGGAGCACCGGAGGAGTGTTACCATAGACTGTATAAAGGTGTTTAAGTTACACGGGGTGTGGTGCCTGATTGGGAATGCTGGGCGAGCGGAGAAGGGTCCGGCTGCGGACTGTAGCTCAGGGGGCTTGGCGTGACACTAGAAGGCAGGATTTGAAGAAGAAGACGATAACATAAAGTAATGGCACTGCAGAAGCAGCAGGTAGGTAATCACAGCTCAGTGCAGCAAAAGTTGAACTTCTGATGTTATTGGACAAATAAGTATAATTTTTTTTTTTTTTTAATAAAAGTTATTCATTTCAGCTGTTTAGCGTTGTTAATCTTCATAGTACAGTACTGTAGTATTAATGGAATGGATTCATATTTTTTGTCAATAGTGCTATTGGGCTTCTGTCAACTACAATGTCCACACATGTGTGGTACAAATTAGGCGGGAATAAGTATGCGCATGTGCAGAACAGACCATACAGAAAGGTGTTGCAGCTACAGTCCATCATAACAGACTATACCGCGAGGGGGCGTGGTGTGAGCGAAGGGCATGGCATGAGTGGTGCTACAGCACTTGCAGCCGGACGTTATTGGGCGAGCGGGCAGCGAAACCTCACTCAGCAGCTTCCCAGTAACATGGCATGAACAGAACCGAAAGCAGCCTCAAAGTCCAACAGGGAATCCAGTACTGAGATGATTTACACTGAGCTTCTTGATGGACAACTTTACTTTTTACTAAATCGCTAACTGTAGCCTATCTGCCTGTATCTGTGGCTAGTTAGCTTGGTGCTGCTAGCGGTGCTATTAGCTTACTCAACCCCGGAGTGCCAAGAGCTAAACCTGGCAAGAAAGCCACCTCGGTACTGGATTCCCAGTAGTCAAACTGGCCTCTGTCGGTCTCGGAGGCTGTGCTCAGTCCCGGTCCAGCTGCCGTTCACTCACTGAGAGCTGGAACCAGTTCGCACAGAGTCTGCATGAAGGGGAGGGGCGGCAGTGGAAACACATATTTGGTGCTACTGGTGACTGTAAACGCCAATCAATGTCTGCAACACGTCTTTGTTTAGCTTTGTGTTTTATAAAAAACACACGGAGGCAAATAGCACTGCGTTTTCTGTTTCATGGAAACTTTCTGCCTAAAGTAATCCCTGTGAGTAATCCCAGATTTTTCAAAATGTACCTGTAGTCTGATTACATTTTTATTTTCTGTACTGTATGGGTTACAGTTACTTTTCTTTGGTATCCTGATTACATAACGCTGTTACACGCAATCCGTTACTCCCCAACCCTGGTAGAGTGATGTGCTCTCTGGCAACTCAGCAAAAAGCAGCAAGTCACATCATACAAAATAATACATGTCAAACAGTTGATATTTAATGGATACTCTTCTGTATATAAACTATAATTTCTGTGAGAATAAGGCTTATCAGGAAACAAAATCTCTACTTAGAAAAATATGTTGTCATACACATACCCAAGGGAAGTATACATTAATTTAACTTCACAATGCAAAATATAAATACGCATGAACTGTACTGGCAAAATGCCAAATATAAAAGTAAAATTATAAGAACTGAATAATATTACAAATAGTATCAGAAGTTTCATAGGTCAGTAATACTGTTGGTGTTATACAGAGGAATATTGTCACACTGTAATTACTAAAAGCATGAATCACACTGTGGCCTGTCTTTAAGAAGCCCCCTTCCGGTTGCATACGCTTTCCATGTTCAAATGTAAATGACAGTTATGTCAATACAGTGATGACCTTTTTGGTGTACCCACTTTCTTCAAATATATTTTTTTCTACTTGTACTTAAGAATAACCTGTGCACTCACTAGTGACTAATTATAAGTGTGGGTGAAGCAAGGAAACAGTACAGAGACCGACTCTAAATAAAAGAAAGCAAGAGTTCACCCAGCCAAGAGAAAGTGAAGATTTACGGGCAGTCTTCTGGCTGGATCACATTATGGTCTACTGAAGTAAAAGTACTTGGTTAAAGCTGCAGGAATGAATATTATTTTATGAATGAAATGACTATGTGCAATGCTAAGGAGTCACAGTGATACTCCAACATAGAGTTGTCACCAACTTTGCATTTCCCTTCAGCTTGAAGAGTGCTTCAGTCTCTTTAAACTCATTGTTCTGGTCTTTCAGCCGACAAAGAGTGCAGCAACCTATTTTCCAGCTGCAGCAGGAAGCTGTTTTCAGCCAATAACTCTATTAAACCCACTGTTCACTACCCAGCACAATGCAAAAGATAGACAAAGCTCCTAACTAAATATAGTGGCCATATCATTTCTTTCAGAAGCTGGTGGAGTACAAAATAGAGCTAAGAGAGCAAATTTTGTACTTAGACATTTATAGTTATAAATGCTCACAAACTCACAAAATACAGCAAACAAAAATGGGTTCATATATGCAAGGCATTTGTGAAACTATATAAGGGTTGATTTTGTCGTTAAAGGAATAATAGTTCAAATAGAATTGAATTGTTAAAAATTTTGAATACACTTCGCTTTGTTGCTGAGTTACATGAGAATATGATACAATACGATAATATGAAGCTAGAGCCAGCAGGCAGTTAGCTTAGCTTAGCATAAAGATTGGAAATGGGGAGGGGGAGAGCTAAGCCATGTTAACCCCTGGCTGTAGCTTTATATTTACTATACAGATATAAGATTGGTATTGATCATCTCATCTAATTGGACAATAAGTATTTTCCAAAACGCTGAACCTTTCCTTTAAGTGCAATGCTTGAAACACCATTTTTATTTTTTCATTTTCATGTCACTGATGAGTGTTCATTGGGAATGCACTGGTCCATTATGCAAAAATTAAAAGATAGCCATTTAAGGTGAAAAAGCCCATCAGAAGGTGGTGTCTTCCCCTCCTACCCCATACCAAGGCGTAAGTCTAACCAAGTAGGGTCTGGGATTACAAACAGGTTGATCAAGTTCAAGCTCTGAACTAGAAGACTCCAGTGAGCTCAGGGACCCAGTGGGAGACCCTGATCCCTCATATGCATATGTTCTTAGGCAGTCAAATGGGGGTACGTAAGGATCCTGATCAGCCTCTGCCAGCCTGTCCAGAATAAACTGCCTGAAGACCTCATCATCCGGCCCGATGAGGTGGGACTCTCGGAGGGACATACGTATGCTGGCCCTGATGTCCTCCCTCCGCAGCCTCCTATCCCTCCTTCTTGGGTGGGGTCGCAGCGGGACAACGGGCTGGCAGAAGTTCAGATCTGCTCCTCGACCTTCTCCGTAATACAGCACCTTCTGTGACACAGTCTCAGGAAGCTCCAGCTCCTTCCCCTCCACCTTCAGTCCCTCCTGCTGCTTCCGCCTGTGCCTCCTCACCATCAACATTAGAATTGACAGCACTGGTAGGAGATCATTACAGTCAAAAACCAGGGCATGAGCTTAGTGAGAAAAAAACATCAACATCTAGGGTTCCTGGTGGAGCATGCACACAGAATACACAAGTGCAACGAAAACAATAGCAGCGAGATTTGTTTTTCTGCAACCTGTTGTGGATGCAAAAATCAAAATGTGGGTAAATTAGACTATAAATAATTTTTTTTTAATTTCAGCTCACGCATAAAGAAATAATTTGCTCCATGTGGCACAGAATGCCGTGTTTTCACAGGGTATTGTGCTCATCCGACAGAATGTTAGCATAGCAGGTATTGTCATTAATCTTTCATGTGATGGGCAAAGGGAGGACACAAAGCAGCCGAGGTCATAATAAAGCTCTTCACTATGCAAACCCATCAATGTCCCACGGTGGCATTGCTACTGATGTATTGCAACCAATACACTCATTACCTGACATCATTGCTCTGCAAGCTTTCAGCATTTTAAAAGTGTGTGTTAAAGGCACGCTGGTGAGTTTTAAAAAGGGATTCAAATGAAAGTGCAAAATTGTTAATGAAAAATCCTGCTGTTTAACACATGTTTATATACTTGCCAAAATGATGTGTGGTGGAAATGTTCTAGCTCAACAGACCTGCTGAAAAAGAATGGCTTTTTTATAGCATAATATCAGTGAGATTCTCATTGTTTCATAAGCTTTGTAAATTCCAATTTCCTAAAGGAATATTCTGAATTTTTATGATCATTGGTCACCTTAATATCAAATGGCTATGAGGTAAGATATCTAGCACTATACAAAGTTGGTAATGTTTTCTGTCTATCATTAGTGAAAATCTTTGTGAATCTGCAGCGCGAAAACAATCAGCTCTCTAGCACACTACACTCTTCTTGTGTAAACAAAACAAACTATATTTGTAATATGCCTCAGAGAAATATTGTTTAGCCAGACATCTGTCTTGTCAATCTCACTGAGTTTTGGAGAAACTCTTCTCAAGAAATTGGCACAACAAGATCTTTGGTAATCCTGAGGTAGCCCTTTATTTGGCTGTTTGGAAGACGTGCGAAAATGCCAAACCTACCTCAGGATAATTTTCTGTAAAAACTTTGTGATTGTACCCTAGTGCAATTTTATTGGCTTGCTTTGATTACACTTGAATTGCTTCTGTACATAGGAAGGTCTTAAGGGTCTGGAGGATGGAACTCTAGCTAAGCAAATTTACAGGAAGAGGAAGTTCTCCTCCCTCTGAAAGTACACTATTACTGATGCATTTTACATCTATTTCAACATTCTGCATTTAAAAAAATATCTGCCAGGTTTATATTTGGAGCCTCGAAACTGACCAAATGAAGTAGAAGTTTATCAGACAACTCAAAAATATAGCTGAATTCATCACTAAATAATATTGTTCATCAAGTAATGGAGAGTTAACAGAAATAGGAATCAATATGTAAGCTCTTGGAGCAGTTGCTAAATCATGTTAGCCAGTAAGCTAATAAAAAAGGTCTTGGACTATTGTGTCATCCTTGATATTTTGTAGATGTGTCATTTATTGTCTCTTTTGTCAAACAAACTCAACTAAAAACCTCCCAGTAGCATTAGCTAGCTAACTTGTGTTTGCTTGCCAACTGCTGTAGAAACTCTTACTAGAGTTTATCAGTAACACTACAGCAGTATAAAGTACAATATATACTTTTAACATTGTGTGCACTGGCAGATGATGTATTATTAAGAAATTTAGCAAATGTGGTGACAAAAACAAAAGATCAAATTAGTTTTGTTTTTGTTTTTTAAAGCAGCTAGGGAAAGATAGATTAAAGTGGAAATTAATTAATTAAGAAATTAATATAAATCTTTAAAGCTTTATATTTATTTACCTAAAAATATAATTTTTTGATGTATTCAGATATATTTTTGACTAGAATTTGTATATTTAGACATCTTTTCATCATTTAAATGAACTAATCTTCCAGCCTTAATTTTTAATTTCCTCATTTTGAAGACAGATGATTTTGACACCAGATGGCTTAGACTCCAGACTCCAAAAAAGCAAGAGTATTCCTTTAGATGCATCCTTTTTATATCATAGTTTGATATTCTGGAGTGAGGTGGGATGTGAATACAAGGTATGACCATGCTTGCTTACCTGTGAGTGTGACCAGGCAGACCAGAAGCCCTAGCAAGGTTTGCAGGCTGACCCCCATAGACATGGCAAGGGCCTCCACCCCCCCTGTGGGACAATGGCCAGCTGGATGGCAGCTGCACACACTGATGGTCAAAGTGCTGGTGCTGGAGAGAGCTGGAGAGCCACTATCTGTTACCACAACAGGCAAGAGGTACTGGGTTCGATCCTTGCGGGTGAAAGTACTCCTGCGTGCCACAATGCCTGCTGTATTGTCTAAAAATGAAGAGATGTGCATTTTTTTAGTGTGCTTCAAAAAAACATGAGTACCACTTCCAGAGTGAGTGCTGTTATTTTAGGAGAATTCAAAGCTGAATAACAAGTGAACTGACACACATAATGTAATTTAAAATACAATCTAAGCTCTCTGAAAGGCCCAAGCCCTGTCAAATCTAATTTTCAGTGTATACAAAAGTAAATTTGGAAAATCTGTCTCAGCTTTGGGTTCACCTGTAAGACTGAATCAAGACACTTAACAATTACTTTTTGGAAGTCAAATATGACTTGTGCCATATGAAAATGTGTTAAATCTTTATTCGTTATTCATTTCCTGGTTGCTGACTGGACTACTGTGCTTGTATGCCTAAACAGAGCTTCAGAGGTGCTGGTAGACGGACTTTTAGACGAGTTAGACATTTCCCTCTGTCTCCAGTCTTTGTGTTAAGTTAAGCTTACTGTCTGCTGTCTGTAGCTTCATATCTACTGTACAAAAGTGAGAGTATGTGAATCTTGTGTGAAGAAAGCACAAGAGAAGTATCATGTGTGCCTAATTATTTAGTATGAATGTAACCTTGGTTATCTCTGATAGTGAAGTTGGGATTGATGTGCTTCTCGGGGACCATAGAGAAGTAGAAGTGGTGTCCCTCCACAGGGTCATCTGGATCAACAGCACTGAGTAGCTGAATGAGCTTAGAAACACAAAGACACATTACTGAGGAAATGAGCAACACAAGTGCCACCTACCCACAACAGATTTCCTAGGAAGTCTACGTAATCATATACAGCCTTCATATTTGACACTGATTTCTTAAAAATAAGACCTTCTGAATCATAATCAGCAGCTGACAATGTTATAAAATATAATCAGTCAGGGGATGGCCCAGTGCGAGCACCACTGCACTTGTTACTCGTCACCTTGATCATGAAGGTGACAGTACTCCATAGTACAGTAATAGAGTATATTGGCTACAATGTAGTATAGATTTGAGTATTTATATTATATAGTTCAGAGAGTATTAAAAATCCCAAATAACCCAATAGAAGGGTGGCACTGAGAGAAAAAGGCACAATTACAAATCCATCTGCTACTTCAGCACCATGGACAGTTCCATGGATTTATCGATACAAAGCACAGTTAGGCTACTGATCTTTCAGAGCCATGGTTGGGGCCATAGATTCTAACTTGCTCAAACCTAAGTCAGATAAAGGATCAATGAGTCAAGCATACTAGGACCAACATATTACACCATCCCTGCATTATCTCTGCTACTAGGGGATGGCAAGTTAACAAGGGGGATTCATCTCAGTAGTCAAATGGTTCATTGTAAGTCCTTCAATGTTTAAAAGATGTACAGAATAGTAGAGATGTTTTGATGACAAAATGACACAATATGAGAACTTTTACTGTCCATATTCATTGATATTTTCATTGCAACACTATAGTAAATTATGAACATCAGTGTATCATAATATACATACATCTCCCGCCTGCGTTCCCTCACAGATATATGGCTGGTAATCTCTTGTAAGCCTTGGCACGTTGTCATTTATGTCCAGCACTTTGATGAACACCGCCACAGAGGAGGATAAATGGTTCTGCGCTGCAGTAGTAATGATAGACATATGCTGGAGTCCACAGGGTGCATGTATCACAAATGCTTTGTAAAAGTTCTGTCAAAATAATACTTAAGACTGATAAATGTTTCTTCTTCCTGAAACATGACTGTGGAGGGAAAAAATGGACAACGGCGTTTGACTACTTTTTCCAAACCAATATGGACTGAACAATACCAAAAATAAGTAAAAAACAAACTATGGAAATTCCCTGTAGATCACTGGTTCCCAACATAGACATAGTCAGATAAAGCCCTTTATCGACACCACCTGTCATGTTAAATTCATTTTAAACTAGATGTGATTTAGCACTATTACTTGTATATAATAGTAAATTGTTAGCATAGAATAATGTTTTTTTTACAGTTTAACTGTCAATGTTTAGTTTTGGTCAGTGGAGAGGTTTGGTCTTGCAGTGGCTACAGCTACACATTTCATCAATTAATTCAAAACTCTTTTGCAATTTCATATGTTTATCCGTAACATTTAGGTAACCTCAACCATTTATTGCTTTTAGCAGCTATAACAATTTCAAACTTTTAGCAAACTATTTCAACAGGTTATTCACTACATTTGTCTAACTATTTCACAAGTTTAAATTCAGAACTTTTAGCAAACTAGTTCATTACTTTTAACTAACTATTTTCACAAGTTTATGTTCATAACTTTTAGCAAACTATTCCAACAGGTTATTTTTAGCTAACTATTTCACAAGTTTATATTCATAACTTTTAGCAAACTATTCCAACAGGTTACTGTTTGCTAACTATTTTAACCATTTATCCAATCACACTTTTACCTAACTACTTAAACTGTGTATTCATTATTTTGGCATTTAATTAATTTACATGCACTCTTAATCACAACAAGTGTTGTTCAGGTGTTACAGCTTTAAAAAATAAATAAATAAATTGCACTTTCTATGTCCCTTGTGACCCTGTACACAGGATAAGCGGATGACGATGGATGGATGGATGGATGGATGGCACTTTCTATGTTTTAAAGTTATTGCGCCATCTTTAGAACCTCTGACAACTGTATGTTTGGGAATCACTGCTCCAAACAAAGACTTCTCATCAACACAGTGCTTTTCTGGACAGGTTTCATGACTACTGAGTAAGTTGGCCATGTCAAAAAGATGCTATTGAACAAGACATGAAATTATCCTTACTTGTTTCCTTGGCTTCAACAGTCACATTGTGCCAGTCTGAAGTCTCTCGGTCCAAAGCTTTAGCGACAGTTATAGTTCCATTGTTTGGGTCTATTTTGAAAGCTTTTGTGGTATCACTCCTTTTGTCAATTGAATATCTGGAAGAAACATCACGGAGACACACATTTAGCAGGCAAGGTTGTTTTCTGGGCAAACAAAACATTGCGATACCACAGGGAGATTAATTAGGCAAACTGCTCAATTTTTTAATCTGTTGACTGATCTCCAACAAAGAGAGCACTCACACAAGCTCGTGTGACACAGCGACAACAACTCTGTGAAAACAAAGCATCTCACGCAGATGGCATCAACACAATTTTCTGTATTTTTTAGTTATTTTGATTTAATATTATTTTATATATATATATATATATATATATATATATATATATATATATATATATATATATATATATCATATGTGAGAAAATATTATTTAAAAACCGTGAGACTGGGACTCATGTAAACATAGAGAAACAGAAACTTTGTTCAGTCTTTCAAGAATTGATTGAGGTGATGCTGCTGCGGTGACATAATACACACCCCTGTGTCTTGTTTTCTGATAGTGGATCTGCATGTACAAAAAAAATGCTATCACCCACAAACCAAGCAAGCTGAAGTGCTTCTAAAAAACATTTGCTTGTTATTGCACAGGTCTTTGACACCACCATACCTTTAACACTTATTAATATAAGGGATTATAATGCCATGGTGAATTAGGGTACCCAGGAATGAAAACAAACAGTGTAATGAATAATTTCTGGGAGCCACTTTGTTGACAACATGGAAAATAAGCCAATTAGACCAAAGCAAACTTAATCATATTTAGTAGAACTATGGAAACCAGTAAAATGTCAGCCTAAATGTATTAATCAATGAGACACTGTCACCAAAGGGACAGTAATAGACGCTAGGCTGAGGATGATATGCAGCACCTGCCACTCTTAAGCTCTGCTGAGATGGACTACAGGCACCAGTACTGCTGCTGTCTCCTCTGCAACGTGCCCCACTTGCAAATGACTGCAAATCTCAATTCCATATGCCACCTCATATGGTGCTTTATTGCATTCCCACGTCCTAGCCACGTTGCTTTGTGATAATACCACGGCAATAGATAGAAAAGCCCGTGAGGTGTAAAAAAAAAAAAAAAAAAAAGAATCATCATGATTTATTCAGCAGGGCTCATTTCCTACTAAAGTAATATGAGATAAATATGACCATGTACAGGGTATCCAGAGATCAAGGGTAAAAATGGATGCACCGAGCCAGTAACACTATTTGAAATGGAATGATTTTTCACCCTGTGGAGGAAGCTGTCTAAGGCGGGCTGTCTAGGGATGTTACACCCCCACCAGCCTGGGTATCTACCTCGTCATTATCATACTGGCAGTTGGGTGGCAGATGCCATTCTTCCTGGTTTAGATGGTTCACATTACCTGATGGGATTGTTGACTGTGTCAGTGTCTCTGGCACTAACACTGCCAACCACAGTTCCCACTGCGGCATTTTCAGCAACTTTCCACTCGTAGACCCGTGAGAGGAAGACAGGCGGCTCGTCCACATTCTCCACAACAATCTTGAGCGTTGTCCTGTCCCTGAAGTCCTCCAAATTCAGGAAACGAGTGTCCACATGATCATTGACTGCCTCGGCGGCCATGACATAACGTCTTTTAGTTTCATAGTCCAAAGGCTGTGAAGGAAATAACTACCGCTTACAATTCATAAATTTATATTCACATATTTATATTCATATATAATACAGTGGCTATTACAAGAAGAGAGCCACTTGTTCTTTGTCATTAAGAAAGTTAAACAGTAACAGCTGTATTTAAGACAGAGAGCAGGACACGACTGGATGTTAAAATTGTTTAGTCAATGTCAATAAGCTACCAGCTGTGAGTACGCACTTAAATATTGCTGTGTTTTCGATTTACATTATGGTGCTAGTAATTAGAAAACAGCATGCAAACCATTACTATTTTCCCAAAATGATTCAATAATGTTATTTTTTATTTAATTATCACACTAAATTGAAATCTCCTGTGCGATAAAGGAGATGCATTCTGTACTGTATGTGGGAAAACATGAAGTATGAAGCACAGTCCAAGAGTAATCTAAAGTTCTTAACCAACAGAAATACATTTAGGACTTTCTGACTTTTTAAAATCACTGGGTACTACCTGAACACACAGAGCTCAGGCCTTGCTAATCACACAGCTTCTAACACATATATGGTCAAAATATAAATTAATTAATTCAAGTCAGTGTTGCTTTGAGTTTATTATACAACAACACTGTTTAAGCAATAATGAAAATTATACTTAAACATTAACGACACCAGCTCCCCCATGCTATTTTTCCAGTTTGCCAGTATGGAGAAAAATGTGGCTGCTAAAATGAAAGCTTTTCACCAGCTGTGGAGGATGCTGAACATAGATTTTACTAGACAGTTTCCTAAAAGGAATACATGATTTTTGGCCAGTCTACTGCCATCATCAGATTGAAAACTAGATATAAAAATATATGTACAAAATTCATATAGTAGACACTGATAGGTATGTACAGTGAACAAAATTATAAACGCAACACTTTTGTTTTTGCCCCCATTCATCATGAGCTGAACTCAAAGATCTAAGACTTTCTCTATGTACACAAAAGGCCTATTTCTCTCAAATATTGTTCACAAATCTGTCAAAATCTGTGTTAGTGAACACTTCTCCTTTGCCGTGACTATCCATCCACCTCACAGGTGTGGCACATCCAGATGCTGATCAGACAACAAGGTATTGCACAGGTGTGCCTTAGGCTGGCCACAATGAAAAGGCCACTTGAAAATGTGCAGTTCCATCACACAGCACAATGTCTCCAAAGGCGTTTCAGAGAATTTGACAGTACATCCAACCTCAGACCACGTGTTACGACACCAGCCCAGGACCTCCACATCCAGCATCTTCACCTCCAAGATCGACTGAGACCAGCCACCCAGACAGCTGCTGCAACAATCGGTTTGCATAACCAAAGAATTTCTGTACAAACTGTCAGGCACCGTTGCAGGGAAGCTCATCTGCATGCTCGTCGTCCTCATCGGGGTCTCGACCTGACTGGGGAAATCCTCACATTCGATGGCATCTGGCACTTTGGAGAGGAGTTCTCTTCACGGATGAATCCTGGTTTTCACTGTACAGGGCAGATGGCAGACAGCATGTATGGTGTTGTGTTGGTGAGCGGTTTGCTGACATCAGCGTTGTGGATCGAGTGACCCATGGTGGCGGTGGGGTTCTGGTATGGGCAGGCGTGTGTTATGGACAATGAACACAGGTGCATTTTATTGATGGCATTTTGAATGCACAGAGCAATCCTGAGGCCCCTTGTTATGCCATTCATCCTCGACCATCACCTTATGTTGCAGCATGATAATGCATGGCCCCATGTTGAAAGGATCTGTACACAATTCCTGGAAGTTGATACGACAGCGTGTTCCAGGGCCTGCCAATATCCAGCAACTTTGCACAGCCATTGAAGAGGAGTAGATCAACATTCCACAGGCTACAATTAACAACCAGATCAATGTGAAGGAGATGTGTTGCACTGCGTGAGGCAAATGGTGGTCACTCAAGATACTGACTGGTTTCCGGCCCCTCCAGACCACCCCAAATCTGTGAAACGGCACATTTTCGAGAGGACTTTTACTGTGGCCAGCCTAAGGCACACCTGTGCAATACCCACGCTGTCTGATCAGCATCTTGATATGCCACACCTGTGAGGTGGATGGATTATCTCTGCAAAGGAAAAGTGCTCACTAACACAGATTTTGACTGATTAGTGAACAATATTTGAGAGAAATAGGCCTTTTGTGTACATAGAGAAAGTCTTAGATCTTTGAGTTCAGCTCATGATGAATGGGGGCAAACACAAAAGTGTTGCGTTGATAATTTTGTTCAGTGTATATGTATTCACCTTGGCTAGCAGAACCACTCCCTCCTGCGTCACTGGATGTGTTGTGATGATAAAAGTGGAGCTTTCCTCCAGGTCATCCTCTAGACTGTAGGTCATTTTGGCATTAATGCCAATGTCTCCATCCTCTGCCATAATCTTGCCCACTGTGGTGCCCACAGCTGCATTTTCAGGGATGGCGAAGGCATACAGGTCTGAAGAAACAAACTTGTTTTATAAGTCATTCATGCTGATACCATTAGCCTGAGAAGTTGAACGTTGGAATAGAATATCAAAGGGAATACAAGATCTGGATGATACCAAATTGGTACTTTTGCAGCACTTCATGATAACTCATGTTTAGAGGAAAACAACAAATAAAAAAAGTTTCTTTACTAAACCATCGCCTAGAGAGCTTGACAGTAAGTTCTTAATAGCTAGTCACGAGAGTCTACTGGTGTGTAAAATGATAAGAAGAGGGAACATTGTGGTTGAGGGTCAATTTGTGTGAGTCATAGATAAATTGTGGCAACGCCACATAATCCCAGCCTAACTCTAATAAGAAGATGAGAAAATGTGATTGTGTGGGGGACTCTATTTGGGTGGGTGCCACAACTGGGAGGAACTCTACAGCAACCAGCTGCTCCTGAAAAAAAAAAATCCCTGCTGATAATAAATTGCAATTATGTGACAAAACAGAGGGCACAGGTCAAAGTGAAGTGTGGCCATACAATATTAATAAGGCCTTTTGACTGAACATAGAATCAATGGGATACAGTAGCACCTGCCATGAATGTGAATGCGACATTAATAGTTAAAAGTATCATCTCTGCTGCCTCATTTCTACAAAATTGATTTCTTCCTTGGGCATTCGTTTAGTGAGGTTTATCACTGAGAAGGCTGGGTTTGTTTCCAAAGGTCATGACAAATGTCCTTTCATGTGTGAATGATTAAATTCATCCAGTGGGCGACACATGTACGTGTGCACACGCAGATGAACAGAACATCCACATCTCCTTTCCCATTTCTTTCACTCTCTCTCTCTCTCTCTCTCTCTCTCTCTCTCTCTCTCTCTCTCTCGCTCTGTCTCATTCATCGACTTTCTCCTTTTAATTTTGGCTGCCGCTGAATAACAAGATGTGTACAGCCGAGTGCAGTGCTGGCAGCACAAACCACCCACCCGAACAGGAGAAGTGTGATCAAATAAATACCTCTTAGGTATAATATTAAACATGTCCTCGCAGTCTGCAACACTTTGTACTCTTTCATTCTTTCCCAGAGCGTGCATGGCCTGGTGTTTGCATCACTATGAGTCAAACCGTATAAGTGACTCACGGTGCTGGAAAGTGGGCCCATTGTCGTTGACATCAGTCAGGCTGACGGTGACTGTGGTGGAAGAGGAGTAACTGCCGCTGAGGCCAAGCATATCCTTCACCTGCACCACCACCAGGTACTGCTCTCTGGCTTCACGGTCCATGTTTGGCCAAGATGTTACAATAATCCCTGCAGATAGAGGAGGCAGACAGAGAGGAGGTGTACAAGAGGCAAGTTGAGTTCATTAAGACAGCATCAAGTGTATCTGTGGGTGGTTTTCTATCTTTTTTCTTAAACCAAATGTTAGTAAACAAACTTTGCCTCAAGTGGTCTTGGAGAGCACTGTGCACTATGTGCAGTAAAACTGCACCACAATAGAGTGAAAAATCTGCGAATCATAGCAGTACACAAGTAAATATTAAGAGCTTCCTCTGTCTGGCCAAAGTGGAGGCTGTGGGCAACAGTAAACAGATAAACACTTTGAATCAAGAGAATTAGATGGACCTGGCAAATGTAAATGTTTTTCCTTGGAAGTCATCATTTCAACCACTGAGTCATCTAATCTTCTGTTTAGATGACAAGCTTTTCAGCTGCCATTCACTAACTACAATATCCAGTTGCTCTGTAAATCTGACTTGTGCTGAACATTCAGTAACTGATAGAGATCTGTAAGCCACCTGGCCAGGTAACAGTGGCAAAAAAATGGCCTTTTTGATTTCAAGGATGAGGCGGGTGTTTTTCTTCATTTTTCCCTATGAAAAGAACAAAATAAACAGTTGTTAGTCTGTCTTTCTATACTTTCATGTATGTCAGTCTCAAGACCTCTCACTCCAATCTCCTGAAAAATGAGTATATAGTAAATATATATAGTGTCACTAAAACAAAACTGTAGTTTTTAGAAAACATTATGCAAACAGGAGTAAATAGCACATTTGTTGGGGGATATTTTTCAGCTGTTGATTAATACACAATTACTGTGGAGTATTACATCTACATTATCAGGATTGGCAAAATGAAATTGACTCACTGCACGTGTTCTCACAATGAAGGAACATGTCAACGCAGTGCACCTGTGAGGCCCATTGATGTGTTGTTATTAAGTTAACGGCAACAACGGAGATTTTCGGCAAAGAGAAATGAGGTATATCAGACTTTGGCAACGCAGACAATACTAGTCTGTAGGATCAATTCATTGGTGGTTTTGGTCTTTGCTGACACTGAGAAAAATATATAAAATATCTCCAGACTTATCCTTACAGGTTAACTGAAGCCATGAGCAAAACTACAACTTAGTGGTTTGGAGTCAACTGCTGCCCACTCCTCAATGAAAACTAACAACTGATTCCCTAAAAAGTCAGATTTACCCTTTTACAGTTAGCATTCATTTGAATTTTTTTACATCAATAATGGCCTCCCCCCACTTTTCATAGTTTGAGGTCAACAATGTGTGTGGGAAGTGCTGCAACTGACCTGTGTTACACATTAAATAGTGTAAATGTACATGCATTGACATCAGTTGAACCAGTTTCCTGGTGTAAACGCTCACATTTTTTCCAGTGGTCTGAGTAACTAAATCTGTCAATAGTTGTTTTAAGAGACAAAGCTGCCTGGGGAATTTTTACAATTCTCAAAGTGAGAAATTGTGTCTGACTTGTCAAAAGTAAATAAGACCAGAGAGACAAAGCCCAAAGACAAGACGGTTTCCTGTCGCAACAGAAATTGGAAACATCTCAGCCCTTCTGTCTTTTTACAGCCCACTAGTCATAAAATGTATAAAGAGTTCGCCTCCAAAATAGCCTCTGTCAGTGGTACCCGTCTTTGGCTCCACTGAGAAGTAGGGCTCCCCCTGCAGGATGGAGTAGATGAGCTTGGCGTTGTTTCCAAACATGGGATCATCAGCATCTGTGGCTGTCACCTGGGCCACTGTGGTCCCTGTGGGGGGAGGGGGATCACACAGTCAGAGTTAGCTCTCAGGCAGCAGTTCCAGTCGACGGGGAAATAAAGTGATTATGCCACAGTCCCGCAGGGTCTGTCTGTCTGGCTCAGAGGGGGAGCAGTGGAAATGGAAGAGAGGAGGGGGTGAGGTTGAGGTAGGGTTAGAGGAGGGATGCTGACAAAGGGGCGGGGGTCGGGAGGTGGGGGTGGGGAGCAGCACTGGCCTTTCACAATTCAGTAAGACGGTGCAGGTGTGTGTGACAGCCTCTCCAGGCCTATAGCAACATCTCTCTCAATATCCACCAGCCCCTCCTTTTCTCTCCTCCACACTCTGATTCAGTTTCACCTCTCTATCTTTCACACTTACTACCCTTTTCTCCACTGACCATATCCTACTCCTCACCTTGCTTTCTAGATGATCTTTCCCTCCCTCAGTCCTCTTGTTTATCTCATTCTTTATTTTCCCAGAGAGCGGTCTTTCTTTCTCACAGGCAGGGATTTACCGGAGCATTTCTTATTTTCAGTTGCCCGCACTCCAACCTTCCCCCTCTCTTTCCGAGACCAATGCATTATGATTTATTACGAGTGAGATATTATGCTGCAAAAGCAGATTACATATAAATTGAAATGGTAATGTTTGTGGTATGAAAGGGCAGTGGTTATAATAACATTACTTAAGAAATATATCCATAAAGGCATCGAAGCTATGATACAGAATCCAATACTTTTAACTTCCTGAATGGGGACAGATGACAGACATTCATATAACCTTTTGTTCATTGTCTTCAGTCAAGATTTAATTTAAGAAAATTAATTTATATAAGTATATCCTTTGAAAAAATAATGCCAAAAGCAAGTTTTTATCTGTTCAATGGAAAATGTTTAACTTTTATTAAACTAATAACTTGTCTGTATGAATAATATCTTAAATAAATGATACTCTGAAACATAGAAATATAGCTACATGTTTGATCTAGAATAATGCCATTGTTTAGCCTATTTTAAATATTAGCACACCATCTGTTCGACGAACTGTATTTGAGGTGGTGGCAGAATATCAGAGACAAATGTCTGAGCAGATACCAGAAAAACTACCTACATGGCAGGATACTGTACCACTAAAGGTAAGTGACAAATATGTTTTGCTTTTGGAATTTTGGAGAACTGACCCTTTAAATTTCATTTAGTATATCTGTACTTTCAACTCTTACTGTTAAAGGGGTGACTTATCTTTCTTTAACATACCGGTTGGACACATCTCAGGGATGCTGGACACATACGGTTCGTTCTGGAACTGGGGGACATTGTCATTGATGTCCTCAACCTTAATGATGAACTCTGATTCGGGTTCCTCTGGTTCATTGGACCTCCTGTTTATAGCCTGTGCTTGAAGGACGTAGAAGGCCTTTTCCTCACGGTCAAGCTTCTTCAGTGTCCGGATCTCACCAGAATACTCATCTATCTCAAACACATCTCCGGCGCCTTCTCCTGACAATACATACTTGATAGAAAACTCCCCTCTGTCAGAGTCAGATTTGAGCTGCAGAAAGAGGAGAGGGTACATGAAAGTTAGATTTTTTCAAACCATTTTTCAGAGGTAACAAGACATGCCTTTCCAAAGTTTAGTATCGTATCAAGGACATGGAGGACATTCAGTCTGAAGCGGTACCTGGCCAATAACGCGAGGAGTGGGATCTTCCTCGAGGACAAACAGCTGTTTCCAGATCCAGGCTCTCTTCAGGCGACGGTGCAGATGAGTGGCCCCCTGGGCCAATTGTTGGGCTTCCAGACCCCGAGTATCTCTCATATCACTCAGCACCCCGCCAGGAATCATAGAAAAGACCATAACCATGGCCAAAACACTCGGCATACTCATTTTTACTGTCCAACCGTGCATTTCCACTGCACTTCCCATGGTTAGTGGACAGAAGATAGTTGGTCCAGTGCTACCGATTCTTCATTCGACAGCACAGTAATTTACGATCCCGGCAGTGCTGTATCCCATCTTGTTATGATGTGGTTTGTATGCATGATCATGTCTCTGAAAAGTTAACAATTTAATTAAGCAGTGCACAGAGATTGCAATTAGGGAATTGAAATCTGTAGTGTTTAATTTCACAAAGCTATAAATGCATACATGAAGCATTTGGGGGTTTTTTAAATTACAAAGCAACATTTACGAGCTGTCTATATCTATCCGAAATTGAAAAGTGAATTTTAAGAACTGGAAGGCAAATCTAACTTGACGAGTTTACATGCTGTAAAAAAAGAGTTGACTTTTAGATGTCTGATTACCAACTATTTCTGTAACCTAACCAAACTGCCACATTATTGTAGGCTAACAATGTACACTTTTATAGAATTAATAGTGTTGAATAACATCTAACATGATTATGAAGGGGTAGGTCTTACAAAAAAGGTTCGGACTGTTCAAAATGAGACCTATGATGGTATTATCCTTTTTTGTTCATCTGAAAAGAATAAATCCATTACACACCAACTTAGATTTTAAACAAATTCATGCATGAATTCCAGAGCAGAATTGCATTTTACAAGATAAAGACAAACCCTTTGTCCAAGCTCCCTTTTTTCTGTCTTGCATCCTGCAGGCGCCTGAAAACAGCCCTCTGTTTTGAATTCAGACAAGGCCTTGTATTGTGTTTCATGGGGGAGAGCAGGGCCTGAACATCATTCCTTAAGCATGACACTGCACTCTGCAGCTGACTAATGAAGACTTCTAATTAGATCAACGTCTCCCCAGACATGGAAAACAGAGACACACATGCCTCTGACAAACTATGAGTCGAATCGATGCACCAATTATAATGTGCACCAAGATTAGGGTCAAGAGTGTAAGGACAATGAAAGTCAAACAGCAAATTAGTTAGGACCATACAAATAAAACATCTTGAACTGACAACCCTGCCAACCTTAACAGACTTTACCTTTAACAAATTATTCAGTTTCCTTTATATACATGGATTAACTGCGGTGTCTTTCTCATATTATTTCTACGAGCAACAATAACCATCCACTGTCAACATGTCCTTGTCAAAAATACCAAAATATCACACCACAGATTTGTCATCCTATGTTACCAAGGGTGATCATTGTTGTCCATGCTTGTTTGAATTGGTAACCTCTTCTTTTCTCTAAGTAAATGATCAATTTCTCCTGTGAAATGACAATATGTACCCCGTTGGGTTTTTTTATTCTCTGGAGCGTATGTCTGTTCAAAATTGCGGATGTTCTTTCTCATTTTAGACCTCTGTCTTGAAGTCGTTTACTCTGAAAAGCAACACAAATTATTTGTCTAGACGTGAAACCCTAAACTCAACTTTATTGCTCTCCAGTCAAGCAGCAAACCATACATCAGCACTCAGTGGGATCAGTTGATATTAAGGTCTAGAAGTCACAACAGCCATAATTCTAAACCATTTTAATAGAGTTTTTTTGACACTGTAATATCAGCACGTAACATATACAGTCCCACAATGTGTATTCTTCAATCCAAAGTGCTGCACAGGAACACAAGTGCATGCATTTCTAGCATGGGTGGTCCCAGAGGAAATTTGAAATATAGACTATACGGCAGGAAGTTGTTTCAGCAGTTAGAGTAGTTGCAGTATTAATGCCTTAACAGCTCATAATGTTCGTATTTAATCTTGTAAAAGTAAATTAGCTGTCAAGGCCTATTTGTAATGAGCTGGTAAAATCAATTACTGATGCAGGCTTTTATTTCTGAAATTCAATTTCAATACAGAATGTGAATGAGAATATGTGTTTGTGCTTATGTATGTCTTTACCGCCCGTATTCATATCTCCACGCATTGCGGAGTGACATTACAATTAGTGGCTAGTGAATCGTGAGCTGTTGCGGTCTTTCATAGGGCTGCCAAGCACGCGTCCAAACTGAACGCCTTGAGCCAAAGCTAGACAACAGCCCTCAATGATGTTACTCTGAGCAACACCTCAGCTGCCAACATGCCAAGGAGTCTGCTTAAAAATCTTCCTGGGGGTGTTAGCCTTTACTGATGTGGCTGGAATAGTGCACAGGTCAACAGATGTTTGGGTGCCAATTTAACAAGATGGGCCTTTCTAGAAATAAGTGATGAAATTCTGGGAAAATAATGGGTATGCCAAAATAACTCCCAGCTCCGGGTCTGTAAATAGCTAAGGTATTAGGGAGTAAGTAAAACACATGTCCTTGGGTGACAGCTATCTTGATAGTGCTTGATAATAATGATGGCCTTGGCAAAGTCTGATTTTAAACGTATCATATATAGTGATAGATCCACTCCATATGAGCTATACACAATACAAAGCTATTAGTTATCATTTACAGGTGTATAAGTTCTGAGAAAAATCTAAAGAAACTAAAATGTTAAGAAACGCAGTTGAACTCTAGGGTCAATTTTCTCCTTTCAAAAGAAAGTCACATTTCTACATGACATGCAGTACATGCAGAATGCCCTGTGGATGACAGCCATTCATTACCTCTAATAGGCCTTCTTCCCATTTCCAGCAGACCTCCTGTAGCCTGTATGTACAGTACGCTACTCTACCACATGACAGAATGACAACGAGCTGCAGTCTCACAATGTTAAGCACTAGATGCGCTGAGACCGTCACATTATTTTCCTATATGGTGATGTGCTCTAGCTAATAAAATGTCGCTCTGTTGTAGAAATGGTTCCGGGATGCTGTTAAAATGTGTCTAATGTGCCAACGCAAATGTTGAAATGCAGCAATAAAGAAAAAGCAGCTTCTACTTGACATTGAAGATGACACATCAATATGCACTGCCAACGCTAACTGCTAAGCGATGCTAACTTGCATCAATCTTCTTACTTGGTCTTGTGTATGATCATTAAAAAAAGAAATGGAAACGTGAAGAATATGAAAATGTGCGAAGCTGAAAACAAAAGATCCAAATATAGACTCAGACCTCTCATTTCACCACAATCTTGCAATCTCCTTCTGTTAAGCCTCACTTCTTTAAGATCATCCTTCCAAGACAAATTGTCCTTAATTGGTCATTTGGGAGCTTATCACGGGACTTTTTGTTTACTGTTCAGCTCTGTAAAACAATAACTCTGACATGTAGTTTATGTTTCCTAAATCAGGACCTCAAATGACTCAAGAGACTGAGCTAGAACAACAGGGGAATGTCAAGCCATCATGTACTTGCATGTAAGTAATTTGTTTGATTTTGTTATGTGCACAAGTGGAAATCATTACTGCTGAACAAAGTGTCATAACATTTCCACTGACATTTATCAGCGAAAGGACTACATCCTATGATTTGTCTCCTTTCTTTTTCAATGTGAACAATTAACTGATGCTGTCAAAAATATTAATAAAGAATAAAAAAGAGGGATGTGGATTTAAACTACAGGCAATTATCTATAAAGACTTAATTATGGCCATAAAAAGAAGTTTGAGACAAATGTTTTTACAGTCAAATTATCTATGGGCCTATGGCTAGGAAGCCACATCATGTAAGCATTTTCCACACGTCATTGTCTTGCCAAGGTTTTTTTATGTACTCCTGTACTGTTCTGCAGTTACAGATGGCGTATATTGTGCATCAATGTTTACTGCCCTTGAATGCTTTCACTAACATGTCACTGAGAATATGTCTAAACTTTCACTGAGAACATGTCTAAAATTACCCACCTAAAGAAAGGTCATGGAAACTGAACAATAATAATTTAGTAATGTCAGATTGAGAAGGATCTCCGAATGAAATTTGTACTCCAAAGCAATCTCCAAAGCTCGGGTTTTTACTAAATATATAGGCAAGTACACAGAGATCAGTTACTCAATATGGAATGAAAAAAGTGCTTATTTCAATGAAATAATCTCTTTACATTATCTGTACGTAGGCCTCAAAAAATGTTTTACACAACTACATCACTTTTTTACACTTAGTTAAATTCACTTTAAAGTTATGTCTTCAGCGATTTTAAACATTGTTGGTTATTTCAGAATGTACAACACTAGGAAAAAGCCAGCAAAAGACTCATTTAAGATTCATTGTGTTCAGTTATTATGAATTTCAGCCGTTCTGCTGCTGCTTTTATGTTAAAAACGTCTTTACGCTTTGTATTCTTCTATACATCTTTCCCTAGATAATACATAAAATTATATCCAATTATCTTAGGACAAAAGCTCAGCTCTTATAGCATGTATAATGTCCACCAACTCACCCACCTGTTTGTGTGATGCTGCTGTCCCCCAAGCCACTTGTCACCAACCGCCGTCAAGAGAGATCATCACGGGGTGTAAAGAAACACAATCTGCTTGACTAAATACCCTGGTACTGGAAAGTAATTCAGTCACCACAATAGCAGAAGCGAATGCGCGTGGTTCTCACAATGCGTAATCCCCTCTGTTGACGACCTCCCCTTTTCTTCTTCTTCTCGCCCCTTTTCTGCCCTTCTCAAACTTCCCGGGGAAGAACAAACACAGGCCCTATTGTCTGGGACTCACATCTGAGCAGTGCAGAACACTCATAGCCTTCATTGCCATGCAAATAGTCACAGCCTAGACTTACAAATGGATTTCTATCTTTTCACCCTCTCTGTTTTTTTCTCCCCATTTTTGTGAACAATCCGGCGCTTATTAGAGTTGAGCTGGAGCATGGAGGGGATGGTAATTCATCCACTGTACGACCACTATTTCTGCTAGTGATAGGAAGGCAACAGTCTGTTTTTTGACATTCAAGCCGAGGGAGCATGCTGTTCCTGTATGCCCTGTCCTGATATGGTCAAATTAAAAAATTGACCGATCACTTGGGATGTTGTTTGTCTGTCTTCCAGTTGTTTACATGTACTTGTAAGGATGTGACAATTTTATTAGTGTCTTTTCATGACTGATGTAATGTAACCAAACCTTTGATAGCATAAGAACACAATCATTTAAATAAAGTTGTTGAGTAGGTTGAGTGTTTTTTTAATAGGCTCAATACTAAACTTGTGTTTTGAATTTAGTCAGTGCTTGAAGTGTGCCGGTACTGTTTGGTGTACCATGACTTTTTCTTGTGCACTGGCACTTCTCACAAGCTGCCGGCACTCTTCTCTGCCCTCTCCATATCAGGTTCTCTGGCCAATTCATAATGGCCCTAAATAAACTGTATTACCCAGGGGCTATTACGTTGCGCTCACCTGTTCCCGTTCTCGCCTGCTTGCTTTTCTCTGTAAGGTAGTCAAAGTAACTTCACATAAACATTACAAAGCCTGGGTCCAGGGCTGGTACTGTATCAGTTTCTCTCTCTTTTTCTCCTTCAACTTTCTTCTTGATTCCGGAATCACCAATTACATCCTGTGTTTCTTCCCTGCCTCTGTCCATTCATTGGTATGTAGCTGCAAAGGTTACTGAGTAACATCTGTGCTAAATTAAACTGCAGTACAAAACTGGATGGTTAAAATAACACTAGCCTACTATAACACGCTACTGCTCAACACTGAATGTCACATGTCGATCCTCTATTGACATGAGGACACAGCTTTTCAGAGGAGCACAGAATAGATACAACTTGAATTTACAACAGAAACTGCGGGGGGAGCCCTGTTTCAGCACTCTAGTGTATGGTATGCTTCTGAGTAAAGATTATTTCAAAATACGAGAGGTGGGTAAACAGAGTTTACAAGCATTTACCCTCCACTACAGCCCTGCTGGTAATTGTGGTCATTCCAATTACCAAAAGTCGAAAGTTTGTCATTCATGAGTAATTTTTGATTTTACGACAAAATAACCTTTTGGATAAAATACCCAAAGAGCCTTCATTACATGCTTCTCGTAAACATGCTAAAGCCCTCCGAGGGCTAATTACAAACCTGAACAATGCTAATAGATTTGATAATTAGAATGCTCTACAAGGGTCATGCTAGCATTGCTGGGTGTAAATGTCTCCAAAGTGGCCGCACCAGCCTTCCCACACAGCTTTATGACAGGGTGGAATTTGTTATTTCGGAAGTTGAGATTAGTTCTTCCTGTGAACTCCGCCGCTCCTGTTCTGATTCCATATCAAACAGAGAAATGTCAGGACCTGCACTGTGACATTTCAAATCCCCATTGTAGACCTTGTCTAATTGAACCACCCTCATTATAATGATGGAGTGTGGACCGACCAGTGCAAAAGAACATCAGAGATGAAAGCTATGGTTTGGTGCCAGCAAGAATTATTTACATTCCCGGTCTTTTCTTCTCTTGGAACGCAGCAGTGAATCCAACTATCTCTCAGTCTCCGGTGACATTTCAGGGCTGTCAAATAATGGGTGCAGAGTAATGGTCAGCATATTTGCAACAAGATAAAGGTGAGTCTGGTCAAATCAGCATTCACCAGGATGCCATGATATAAATAATGTAAGCTGTAATAGGAATATATGCCTTGCTTATATCCTGTATTATTCACTATCAGTGAAGATGTCATTCTTTTGACAGGAGGCACAGAGAAGATAATGTGACTCTGACATTGAACTGTTGATTTTACACATTCGTACATTGTTGTTTTTCACATTTTCCCCACTAGTGTGCTCTTCTGATGGAGGCTTTTCTCCCTGAAAAACAAGTTATTCCATAATCAAACATTACACCAATGTCAAAATAAAGGTCACAAGTTCAGGCTCACAACAGATGAAGTGCTGAACTGTTCAGGCTTCGTCATGTTAGAGGCAGATGTGCCCTTCACGGCTTACATTCATACTGTTGCATCGTCTCACTGTAATTGGAGGAAGAATAAAGCGTCATTGGCATTCTGCTCAGTCCACTGTGGTGAATTTGATGAGAATGTCACATTAAAAATGCATGTTCCTCGTACGTTCTTTGGCCTTTGTCTTTAGCCATGGGAAACAGCAGACACTTATGACAAATAAGGACGGAGCTGACGCTGCCTGAGGTGGATCTCTTATTCGACAGGAAATATCAGCGTCTTCTCCCAGTGTCTGCCTCCTCCACATGAGACCACGCATTTGTCAACCGCCTGGGCTGATGGAGGGGAAAAGAAATTGGGTCACGATAGAAAAGTTGCATAGACATATAAAAATTATTCTAATAAATAAAATCACAAACAGCACAAACATAATTCTTTACCTGATAAATGATGATCGTGTTACATAAATCCTGGTCACTTTCTCAGGAAATGCTCAACTAAATCAAGCTTCATACATCACTGTTCATCTATATTTTTGTAGTAGTTTGTAGTAATGAATCAACAGCTCAGACAGACGACTGATGGCCGTCAGCCAACTGTCGACCAGCTGCTGGACGATCACTTGTGAGACACATCAGGTGTCCCAGATCCTCCACAAATGAGCACTAACTCTGCACTCCGGGCAGCAAGGGAAATCTCCTGGAACCAGACAGCAATGTTTAGCTCACATAAACATTTAAAGTGGTTCTGTCCATAAAATTTATAGCTCAAGCTGAAAGGTAATTAAAAGCCTATGATCAAGTACACTAAAGGTTTCATTTCCATTACTTAACTTGTGCAACTTTATGCCTATACACAGTATATACAGTACTGTGCAGAAGTTTTAGGCAGGTGTAGATAAATGCTGTAAAGTAAGAATGCTGTCAAAAATAGACTTTAATAGATTACATTTATCACTTAACAAAATGCAGAAACTACCCTCAGTCCTTATGTGGATTTAGGCAGCCTCATTTGCTTCTCTCTCTTCATGTAATCCCAGACAGACTTGACGATGTTGATATAACAGGGCTCTTTGGGGACTATACCATCACGTCCAGGACTCCTTGTTGTTCTTTATGTGGAAAATAGTTCTTAATGACTTTCGCTGTATGTTTGCTGTAGTCAGTCCAGAGCAACCAGCTGCCATTTTTCTGCACCTCAGTTCTCGTGTTTCTATGCAAAGTTGAGCCACTTGGCCTTGTTTCCATGTTGGAGGTATGGCTTTTTGCCCTCAAGTCTTCCATGAATGCTACTTCTAACCAGACTTCTCCAGACTGTAGATGGGTGTAGCAGGGCCCAACTGTCATCTGCTGATGGCACTGTTGGACATTTTCCGATTGTGAAGGGAAGTAAGCATGATGTGTCTTTCATCTGCTTTCATTAAGTTTTCTTGGCCGACCACTGCGTCTACGGTCCTCAGCATTGCATGTCATACTTCTTTAAAAGAGCTTGGACAGCACATCTGGAAACCCATTGTCTGCCTTGAAATGTCTGCCAGGGAGAGACCGTGCTGATCCAGTATAACTGCCTTGTGTCTTGCTGTGTTCAGTCTTGCCATGGTAAATGACTTTTGACAATGAACTGTCTTCAGCAACATCACCTGTTCCGCTTAGTTTTGCTGTTCCTCACCCAGTTGTATTCCTACTACACAGCTGTTTCTGTTTCAGTAAATGATTGTGTTCCAACTTACATACTGAATTAATGATCATTAGCACCTGTTTGGTATAATTGTTTAATCACACATCAGACAATATCCCAACAAAATCCCTGACTTTGTGCAAGTGTACCTAGAAGAATTGATACTGTTTTGTCCTGTGGCTCAGCAGATAGAGCGGGTCACCCATTTATCAGAAGACTGGTAGTTTGATCCCGGGCTGTACCTGTTGTGTGTGAATATGTGTGTATGTACACCTTGGCATGATACATACACTGCCATCGGTGTGTGAATGGGTTAATGTGACATGTAGCATAAGGCGCTTTGAGTGGTCAGAAGATTAGAAAGTACAGTCTGTTTGTGTCAGGTCAAATACAAAAGCCACAACACTACAGATTTTTTCAATTATTAAGATGCAATGGTCAAAACTGAATCCACTTTTTCAAAACTCTTAACACAGTCTGCATTACCAACATGTATCTTGACCAAACAGTTAATCTCACCTCCAAAAGTCACTCAAACCCCCAAAACACTTTTCATACAAGTCTGAAAATAAACTTGTTCAACCAAAACACTGGCAACAATTTTCACTCAGAAAGCATATGATATTACTCATATTACACTGATCAACAAAACACTAACAACAGGAAGCATTATATAAATATAATGAATGTTTATCTTTGAAATGTCACTGATTTATTTATATAAATCAGTATTTCATATGGTACAGTTGTTCTCAGTCACGTTGGTACATTTCTCAGATCAGAATTTAAATTGTACTTGTTCAACCTCCACATCATCTAGTCACTTGTGCACATAGCAATTTCTCAGTCTTTTGAGAAATAGCAAATTGCAAATGCTTTGACACATTTATGCAAATCATTATGTACAATTGTCTGCTGTTTCCTACGTTATCAATTTCTTATGTCATGTTGATCACAATGTATTACAGCTTTCAATTGCTAAGAGGCAATGGTCAAAACTGAAGCCACTTTTTCAAAACTCTTCACACAGT